TTTTAATTAATTAATTAATTAAATTAAAATTAATATTTTTATATAATTTTATATAAATTAATTATAAAATGATATATTTATTGAATAATTGTGTTATTGAATCATTAATTTAGCAAGTCATTGTTATTTCTTTAAATAAAAATATGATAATGATTAATTGACAACGAGTTTGCCAATAGAAGAAATCTCCATTATGCAGCCATAGTTCCGCACAAAATATTCCTTGAAGCCAAATTTTGAGTGAAAATATAGAATAAATCCTAAAGATAGATAATCTTTCTGTTAAAAATTGTATATTTAGATAGGAAAAAAAGAAATTTTACTATCTAATATAAAGATTCAAAAAATTTACATTTTTAAATAAAAATAATAAAATTTGTATTTTTATTTGAATTTTTTCTCAAAGTCCAAGAGGATGGTTGTTTTATATATTTGAAAACTATATCTTAATTTTAAAGTTGATTTTGTGAATTGTTGAATACATTCAAGGAGAAAAAATTTTGTATTAAAAATGTTAAAATATTTAATAATAATTGCGTGATGAAAGTAATAAAATTAAAATTTATATAATATCTCATGTATTTAGTAATTGAAGAGGGTTAGGGTTTGTGCCCTAAACTTTTTAAAAAGAAATCAATTAGTCTGGTAACTTTTATTTTTATTATTTCTAACTTTATATATTTCATAGTATTTTCTTTTTTTTTTTTAGTTTTTTTCCTATTGTAATTACATTTGGTGTTGAGAAAAGTGAAAATTAAAGAAATGTCAAGGTGTTCAATCACAATTATTAAATATGTAAAACATAATATAAGTTTTAATTTTATCAAATTTATTATATAATTATTAGTAAATATATTTTTTCAAGAGAAAAGGGAAAACAAGACATCCTATCATTAAAATATCATGATATTCAATCACAATTATTAAATATGTAAAACATAATATAAGTTTTAATTTTATCAAATTTATTATATAATTATTATTAAATATCTTAATATTTTTAATATAAAAACGTCTTAATTTTTTTTTATTTAGTGATAATAAAGAAAAGAAAAAAAGTAAAGATAATATGAAAATGAAGAAACATAAACATTAATTGAATAACAAATGTTTATTGTCATTGTTTCACAAAATGTTCGTTTATTGTAATATCTTTTTGCTTTATCATATTTTTTTGTTCATCGGTATTCATTTTTCCAATTTATATTATTTATCTTTCTTTTTTTTACTAAATCTCCTAATATTTAAAAAGTATATTAGATTTTAATTAATTTTGAATTAAGTTATATGAGATTTTATTAAAAAAAAAACTTTTTTAGCATTTATTTTTCATTTACAAAATTTAAATTTAAAATTTTATTTAAAAAAATCAAACTCTTTTAACTAATACCCACGGATCATTAGTATATTATTATCTTTCAATTCTATTAAGGATAGTTGTCATTTAAAACTAATAGATTTTATTTAAAATAAATTTATTTTATTAATTTTTTTCTTTTTATCAACACATAATAACACTTTGTTAATAAAAGTTTCTTTTTACCCCTAAAAAAACCTTTTCTCTCTGTGTCCTAACTATTTTTAAAAAAATATCAAAATCTTTCTTTCTTTTTTTTTTTTGTACATTCAATAACGACATCTCTTCGTACCTTGCCTAAAAGGCCAGTCAATTGTAAATTTGAACTGAAACGTGTTCTGATGATTAAATTTCTACTTATTATATTATATATAATATATGGTGGTTTCACACGTATTAAAAAGAAAAAGAAAGTATACTTTACTACTGTTGGTTAGTCTTTTGAATTAAGGATATTTTACGTTAAAATTCATGTTTTATTATTTAGATTGTATAATACAAATATAATTTATTTTATAAATTAATAAAAATAATTATATTAAAAATAATTTAATGAATTTATAAAATAAATTATATTTTTAATATATAATTTACATTATAAAATATTTTTTCACATTCATTGTATAATTATAATTAAATGTAAATATAAAAAAAACTTAACTTTTATCACCCTCGGAAGAAAAAATGGATGTCTCATCCCATCAAAATCGCAGTTATTGTAAACAAGCATGCCCCATCACCACTTGCCTTATTGCCTCAATAATTCATGTTTTCATCTTCGAAAGAAAAAACAAAAATGGACGTCTCATCCCATCAATATCGCAGTTGGGTCCCACCTCCATCATTCACGCTTTAATGGTTTCTTTTAACAAAAATCACTTTCATGATTCTCCCCTTTTGATTATTTAAGTGTTGAAAAGACGATTTTACCCCCAAAAAAAAAAGTGTGAAAAAGACAAAAAAATCAGCTCAACCAGTTTATGAACTAATTTTTGCTTCTTGAAACTCAAACTTTTTAAGTCCCTAAATTCTCCGGTTAAAAAAAAAAAAAATCTGTTACATTTTATCATAGATACAACTCAATGATAAATTTTCAATTTGTCA